TAGTTTTCTTTGTATAGGTCTTTTACATCCCTGGTTAGATTTATTCCTAAATATTCTTTTTTTTTTTTAGGGGCTATGATAAATGGTATCATTTTCCTGATTTCCTTTTTTGTTTTTCTCTTTATTGGTGTGTAGGAATTCAACTGATTTTTGTATGTTTATGTTGTATTCTGCTACTCTGCTGAATATTTCTATTAGGTCCAGTAGTTTTCTCGTGGAGTCTTTTGGGTTTTCTATGTATAGTATCATATTATCTGCACTTCTTCATTACCAATTTGGATGCCCTTTATTTCTTTTTCTTGCCTTATTGCTCTAGCTAGAACTTCCAGTACAATGTTAAATAGGAGTGGTGATAAAGGGCATCTTGTCTTGTTTCTGTTCTCAAGGGGAATGTTTTCAGCCTCTCTCCATTAAGAATGATTTTCACTGTTGGTTTTGTATAGAGGCCCTTTATTATGTTGAGGAATTTCCCTTCTATGCCTATTTTATTGAGAGTTTTTATCAGGAATGGGCATTGGACTTTGTCAAATGCCTTTTCTGCGTCGATTGAGATGATCATGTGATTCTTTTATTTATGTGGTGGATTACGTTGACTGATTTTCTAATGTTGAACCATCCTTGCATACCTGGTATGAATCATACTTGGCTGTGGTGTATTATTTTTCTGATATGATGCCGAATTCCACTGGCTAGGATTTTGTTGAGAATTTTTGCATCTATATTCATGAGAGATATTTATTTATTTATTTTTTTGTGGTGTCTTTGCTGGCTTTTGGTATCAGGGTTACACTGGCTTCACAGAATGAATTCAGAAGTATCCTTTCCTTTTCTATGTTCTGAAATAGTTTGACTAATACTGGTGTAAGCTCTTCTCTGAATGTTTGGCAGAATTCTCTAGTGAAGCCAAGATAGCAAACTTTTGATATATTTTATCACAATAAATTTTTTTTAAAAAAGAAATGAGACAGCTTTGCTAGATGACATATATATTTAAGCAGCAACCTAGAGTTTACAGATCAGTTTTGTGAGGTTGAAATACTAAGAAATGGCCATTCTCTGTGGAGAACCTGGAGGCTTGGAGAGAGGGTCTCCTAGATTGAGAGCCTGTGGTTCAGAACTATGAGGAACTAACTTAGTAGATGTTGTTGTCAGCTGCTGCCAAGTTGCTTCTGACTCATGGCGGGCCCCATGTGTGCAGAGTAGAACTGCTCCATAGGGTTTTCAAGGCTGTGACCTTTCAGAAGCAGATCACCAGGACTGTCTTCCAAAGTGCCTCTGGGTGGGTCTGAACCACCAACCTTCTGGTTAGTAGCCCAGTGCTTAACTGTTAGTGCCAACCAAGGACTCCAAAAACTCAAACCCATTGTGGTCCAGTCAATTTTGACTCATAGCGACCCTATAGGACAGAGTAGAACTGCCCTATAGGGTTTCCAAGGCTATTAATCTTTATGGAAGCAGACTGCCCCATCTGTTTTCTGCGGAGCAGCTGGTGGGTTTGAACCTCAGACCTTTTGGTTAGCAGTCAAGTGCTTAACCACTTGCACCACCAGGGCTCCTTCTAAGGACTCCACAGACACCTAGACAGGGTGAGTGAATAGAAACCAGCAGAACTCCATCATGAAATGGCTCAGCATAACACAGCTCATCGCAGCCCCTGATCCTGCCTGTTTCAGCAGTGCCAGGGCAGGGCTGGCCTCTAAAGAGGGCAGTGGTCCTGCCTCCCCCATCGCCTAGCCCAGGGACTTGGTTCTGGCCCTTGCACTGGAGGATCCCAGGCTGCTTCTATGCTGGCTGACAGGGCTGTGCTTTTGGTAAATGCAGATTAAGAACCAAACGGTGTGCAGTGGCAACTCCCAAAAGCAATCAAGTTCCACTAGGTGCCTGGATTGCTCAAGTTGGGTGTTTGGGGTATTGACCAGTGGGCATCAAATCAGTGATATTTACTCATCCCCTTGGTCAATATTTCTTAGCACATGTGAAGTCTCCTGACCTAGGCTTTGGGAGCACCATTCACAACCTACCCAGCACATCTCCCCTCAAGGAACCAGTAACCGGGCTGTAATGGGCATGTAAATGATCCATCCCCCGCTGCCCCATATACTTCCTATGAGCTGAAGATGTTCCTAGCACCCTCTTGGACACACTGATGATACCAGCCCCAGCAACTGGGTTTGACTCAACCAGCCGTCCTGCTCTTACTTGCTGGAGTCTGATTTCATTTAGGCCCCCTCTAATTTCTTCTGACTTAGTTAATGCCTTTGGCTGCTAACCTAAAGGTTGGCAGTTTGAGTCCACCCAGAGGTGTCTCAGAAGAAAGGCCTGGTGGTCTGCTTCTGAAAAAACCAGCCACCAAAAACCCCGTGGGATTGCCATGAGTCAGAGTTGACTTGACGGCAATTGGTTTTTTAAATTTCTTTCAGGCTTAGGGTACATGAGGCTATTCTCATGCGCTTGCCTGGTTTACATCCTGGAGGAAGTGAAGGCCAGGAGAGAACCAAGAGAGGCTACAAGAAGATTTTGCTCTTGTTTTAAACTACAATTTTAATACAACCAATAAAGGCAGTGACAAAGGCTGGCCCAGGCTGTTCTGCCAAGAGCTGGTGATGATCACAGTGTGACCGCCCCCAGTACAGCTGTTAAAGGGCAGCCCCCGCCCTGCGCTCTTCTCCCTGAACCCCATCTTCCCCCACACACAGGAGGGAAGCCCATGTTAACCAGCTGAAACCCAACCTCTTGGCGGCGTCCATGGAATCAAATGAGGGTTATGCATCTTCCCTTGAGTCTGACATACCCACTCAGCACTGTGGCCATGTACAGGCCCAGCTTGCGGAATATTTCCCAGTCTTCAACTTCTATGATCTTCCCGGCAATCAGGAACAGAATCCCCAGTGGCATGTAACTATAAAACAAACACAGCAAAGACGCACTTCCGTGATCGGGTATTTTCTCAGCTGGGGATGTTGGGGAGGGAAGAAGTCAGGACACGGTGCACACTCGGCTTGGCACGTGTGTCCAGCCAGGAACATACATCATGAAGCCCAGGTCTCAGTGTCAAGCCCTGGGTGACCACGCTGGCTCCAGTTTTCAGTACCTGTGTGCACTTTAATTTCTACCATCCAACCTGCCATAAAGGGGCAAATTTGGCAAGAACGTGTGGTCAAACTGGTGTTCCCAGTTCACAAACATCCTACTGACTGTCACATCGGAAGGTCGCGCTTTAGCTTGACCATCGCCTCCAAATATGGACTCTCAGCTCTTTCTAGCCACGTCACCTTGTTTCCAGGTGGTCGTACAGCAAGCATCCCTGGGTGGTGGAAATGGTTCATGTCCTCAGCTGCTAACCAAAGGTTGGAGGTTTGAGTCCATCCAGACACACCTTGGAAAAAAATGCCTGGTGATCTACTTCCGAAAAAACAGCCACTGAAAACTCTATGGTGCACAGTTCTACTCTGACACACACGGGGGCACGAGCTGGAATCAACTTGACCGCAAGGGTTATGGTTATGTTTAGTATCAGCAATAGATGTAGTAATACTAGTAGTGGAAGTGGCTGCAATGGCTCTATTTGTGGAGTGCTTACTGCAAACCTTGCACTGGGTTAAGCATATTAACATGCCTCATTTCACTTAACATCCTTCTCCCAACCCTGGGAGTGGTTTTATGGTTCTTTTTACAGATGATGGAGCTGAGGTTCAGCAAGATAAAGTGACTTGCTGGCTCAAATAGCTGGTGGTTTCACGAACCCTCTGGGTCACCGTCAATATCTACACATTGGACTAAATAAATAATGTTGAACTGAATCAATGTGAGATAAGAGGGCAAAGATGTCCCAGGAAAGGTGGATTTCTTGGCATCTCCAGGGACAGGGCAGATATTGGGCTGCTGTCACTGGTGTGTCCACCCAACAGCAGCTTCTGTTCAGAAGGGTCAGTGCCCAAGCTGTACCAGTTTTACGTATTTTGAACATCACTTCTGCATGGGGCCTAGTAAGGAAAGTACTTTGTGTTTTGATGTGCAAGGAACCCCCTCAAATCATTCCTTTAGAAGTTATTTCTTATGTGAAAGTTTGCTGGGTGCAAGATGATCTCCTAGGGCTTGAGGGAAAAAGGCTATGGCTGATGCCTAGACTTCCGTTAGTGAACTAACTCCTAAGTAGTATGTGGGATCAGGTGACGCTCTAGGGTCTTGATGGAGTCCCTGGGTGGTGCAGTTAACGTGCTCAGCTGCTAACTGAAAGGTTGGAGGTTCGAATCCACCCAGGGGCACCTCGAAAGATCACCTGGTGATCTACTTCCAAAAAAATCAGCCACTGAAAACCCTATGGAGCACAGTTCTACTCCGACACACATGGGGTTGCCCTGAGTCAGCACTGACTCGATGGCAACTGGATTATTTTTTTAGCATCTTGCTATTAAATGTTTGGCCTCTCTAGAGTGAGGTTAGTTGAGAAAGAGAATTCCCTTCTTTCTAATTTGGAGGGAGCGGAGTTGTCAGGGGAAAGCAAGATGGCATTAGATAGTGTTTGCTCACCACATGATGATCTGCACGATTTTCATGGTTGCATCACTCAAGGCATTGAAGAAATCCACCAGAATCTGTCCCTTTTCTCCCATTTTTCCAATGACAATCCCAAAGACGAGGCAAAAGACAATCAAGCCCAGGACATTCATGCCTTCAGAATACGAGCCCACTACTTGGTATTCCTTGGTTGTGTTCTGTGCATCAAAGCCAAGAAAAAAATATGTTGACGGGTGATTATAATTTTGTTAGAATGCACAGGCCCTGAAATGAAAAGATATGCTAGCCAAACATCATAAACTAGTGACCTACCAGTCACAATCAAACGTTCTTTAGGAAACATGGTTTAAACAAAACAACAACTATGCTTGTAACAAATCTTATCCACTCAATTCAAGTTTAAAGGTTTTCTGCCTTCAACAGAGACTCTTAGTTAAAAATATTTAAAGTATACATTTGAATATTTCTTTTGAAGATTTCTTATTCCAGAATGTTTTACATTTTTAATAAAAATTTTAGAATCGAGGCACTTTTTGAGGCTCTTTTAACTATAAGCTGCCTTTGAAGTCGGCTTTTAAAAAAAAAGATAGGAATTAATAATGGAGAAAGTATAAAATATTTACCAGGGTGAACATTTTTTAGGGCATTTTACCATCTGCGTTAGGCAATAGTGAAGCACAGAACATTCTTCATTGCCTATGTTCTTAGATGACCAACAGCATTTTAAGGATATAAGACTATGTAGAATTTTTGACAAAAATACACAATAAGCTGCCTTCTTCAAAGATACAAAGGAATTCATAAGTTGTAGAAGTCTAGCCCACCCATTCCATATTTTCCCTTTACCCAGGATTCCCTTCCCTATCATGGGAAATGGGGACAATTTGGAGAATCCTTTGATTGAAGTTGGATCCTCCCAAAGAAGTAATTCAAACAAATTAACCAGGTATCTACCACTAGGAGTCATTTCTTTATCATATCCTGGGTCAAAATAGCAGGATATTTACCGAGAGATTCCATAGGGAGATCATCTGAGTAGTGCACATCAGGTTTATAAGGAGTTATATTACCTAGCCACTGGGGTACCGATCGCTTCTGGATATTAGTGAGCAGCTCGAGTACGCATACTGCATTGACAATAGCATAAGATCTTAAAATTCAGCTGGAGGGACAAGTCTAGCTATGAGAAACACAAGCTAATGACAACATGATGGAGTGTGATTAACTGCTCAGCCAAGCTGTAAGGTACAAGCGTCGTATGAAGATGGGGGATAGGCATGAGGGCTGCCGTGGTCAGCGAAGGCTAGGCCTGAGGAGTAGATAGCCAAGAGATGGAAGGATGTTCCAGAAAAATGATAAGCAATGGCAAAGGAGACCTAGTGATGCAACGGTTAAGCACTCAGCTGCTAACCAAAAGGTTGGTGGTTTGAACCCACCCAGCGGTTCTGTGGAAGAAAAGATCTGGCCATCTGCTCCTGTAAAGATTACAGCCTAGAAAACCCTATGGGGCAGTTCTAATCTGTCACACGGGCTCACTAGGAGTCAAAATCGACTTGACGACACCTAACAACAACAATGGCAAAAGTCATTATGCACCTACTGGACCTCTCTGCCCTACTTGGATGATTCTGATTCATCCTTCATGGCCCTAAAACAAATTTAAACCGTCTTGTTGTGTTCCCTATAGGACAGAGTAGAACTGCCCCATGGAGTTTCCAAGGAGCACCTGGTGGATTTGAACTGCCGATCTTTTGGTTAGCAGACGTACGTCTTAAGATGGCAACGAGTTTGGTTTGGTTTTTGGTTTGTTGTGTTCCCGAGGAGCTCTGGTGGCACAGTGGTCAAGCACTTGTCCGCTAACCAAAAGGTTGGCAGTTTGAGCCCGCCAGCTGCTCTTCGGGAGAAAGATGTGGCAGTCTGCTTCCATAAAGATTACAGCCTTTGAGATCCTATGGTGCAGTTCTTCTCTGTCCTATAGGGTTGTTATGAGTTGGAATTGACTCAAAGGCAACGGGTTTGGTTTTTGATTGTGTTCCCCAAAACACTTGCTCTTCCCTATCGTCATACTCCTCACTTCACATAAGGCCAGAAGCCATGTCTGTCTTTTCTCCATTGCAACCCAATGTCCAGCAGGGTCTGGCATAGAGACAGGACTCAGAAAATATTTGTGGAACCGCATTGAAAGGCAGGAATGAGCGGTAACTGAGGAGGTGGGTGCAGATAGGAAAACTCGAGAGCAGTCATTTTCTGGGGGCTCAGAACTCTACCAGAGGAGTTCATATTCCTGCGGCAGGAAGCAGGGAGCCACCGTGGTCTAGTTCATTTGAATTTTTAAGTCTACAAATATTTCCTTTTCCTGTAAATATTCCCATCCTGTGTGAAGGCAGGGGGTGTTCAGGGAGAAATCTCCTACAGACGTAAAATGTACCACTTCAGGGCCACACCTTCTAACCTCCAACTTGAAATCCCCAGAGCTCTGAAAGCCTATTGGTGAGTTTATGGAAAACTCTCTTGGTGGCAAAACCTAACCTGAGCTGAGATGAAGCTATTGGTAGTCTTTCCTTCTCTCACCTGGCGGGGACGTTTGTGATTTTGCACAGAAATATCGATGCACTTGATTCGGGAGTGTTTTTGCCCATCCCACGTGAGGGGGTGACACAGTATGCGGTGTACACAGTGCATGGTCTTCTGAAGTCTGAAGTCTGACTCACATCTAGCCAGAGGGTTTTAGATAAGTAGTTGTGGACCTGCATTCCATGCTTACACAGGCTTACAAATCTAAAGAGAAACTTGACTCTACCACAGGAGTCGAGGTGATGTAGAGGCAGCAGGGCTCACTGCCTTCCCCATGTCATGTTGCTACCTCACGTCGCAGGCCCTGGGGAAAGAGAGTAGGAGACAACAAAGCAAACGGTACCTTGGCAACTGTGGTCGTCATGGCAGCTGTGACAGACTCTTCCGTCAGGTTCGTCACTGGTTCACCTGTAGACTCCACTTCTTCACGTGTGGTTTTGTACTGCACGTCAGGGAAGAACAAAAACACACAAGCAAACACAAAGAGAGTTTTTGTAAGCTTCTGAGGCTAAACCACAGGAAAACATCGTTTTGGCCAAACAAGTGCTGCTCAAAGGTTCTACTTCTGACACCTCTGTTGGCTCCAGTGTTTGATGGTACAAATCATGAGGTTTTGGAACCAAAAGTAGGATCAAGAAATCCAAACCACTGACCCCCCAACAACCACCATTCAATAATACCAGAATGTTCTCTCACTTTTATAATAAGGGACAGACTAACAGAGCAATAATGTAAAAGAAAGTGTAGGTTGTATTTTTGGTGTTTTGACAGACCCCAGAGTTCCTGGGTGGTACAAACAGTTAACAGGCTCGGTTGCTAACTGAAAGGTTGGAGGTTCGAGTTCACCTGGAGGCACTTTGGAAGAAAGGCTTGGTGATCTACTTCCAAAAAATCAGCCACTGAAAACCCTATGGGGTGCAGTTCTACTCTGACACACAACGGGGGTGCCATAGGTCGGGGTCAATTGGATGGCAACTGGTTAACTGGTTTGACAGACTATACAGTGATTCCTCCAATCATTTTTGTTATCTCTTTGTTTTTTAAATTTTTCTGGTGGTGAAATATATATAACAAAGCGTTTCAACCATTTTTACATGTACGATTCAGTGACATGAATTGCGTTTACCAACTTGTAACAACTCGATGGCAACTAACAACAACGATACCGTTGGGTGACAATCACCAGTAACCATTTCCAATTTTGTCATCACCCTTAACAAACACCCTGTGCCCCTCATCTGGGAAAAACACCTCATCATTTCTAAATGCAGTCACGATGACTTTAATAAACACCGAGAAAAATCTGACTTGTCCACCCTGAGCACTGTGCTCTTTTAAGGTCTATCTAGCACAACTTGACAAACGTAATCCATCTTTTAAACATGTAAAATGTACATGTAAAAACTGTTGAAATGGTGCATCTTTTGCTGTGTATAGTTTCATACAAAAAAATTAAAGGAAGAAAAGATCTACCTACATGGGATCAAACTGACAGCAGCAACTTGAAAGATTAGATAGGAAGTTCCGGGGCAGTGAGTCTATGTCAATGGGGGAGGAACAACTCAGAAAAGGAGGGTGAGAATGGTTGTACAAGTCAAAGGATGTGATCAAGGTCACTGAATCGAACACGCAGACATTGTTGAATTGGTGCATGTTCTGCTGTATATATTCTCAACAACAACAACAAAAATAAAATAAATTACATAAAAAAGAAAGATTTGACTCTATGGTTGTTCCATAACCAACATTTCTTTTTAGGGCTATTCAGTCGGTGAGATTTCTGTTGAATTCCCTTCCGTTCCTTCAGCTGTTTGGTTCTGCGTAGGTTCAGCATGGAAGTTTAAGAAAGAGCCAGTGTATCATTACACCGGGCATAAATGTTACTCCTATAGGGTTTTGTCAACACCAAGAACCTTATAAATGACCACTGTGACTGACTGCAAAGGCACTCCCAAAATAGAGGTGGTTCTGTGCCTCGTGGAGATTTGCCGGGAGCAATTTAATTGCTGTTTCTGTGAGTCTACACAGAGGGCTCTGTTCATGTAATTCATGTAAATGAACACAGCTGCTTGTGATAGATTCAGCTGTCTTAAAGCGCTTAGACAAACAGGAGAAAAAGGCTTGAAGTAAATGAAGTGAAGAGATTGTTAAATTTTCTTAGAGGAAAAGAATCATGACTTTGTTGTTATTCTGGAGAGTCCCAGCTGTTGTTGCTGTTAGCTGCCGTCGAGTTGGCCCTCAGCTCATGGTGACCCCATGCTCCATGGAACTGAACGCTGCCTGGTCCTGCGCCATTCCCATGATGGGTTGTGGACGGGATCACTGTGATCCATAGGGTTTTCACTGGCTGATTTTCGAAAGTAGATCACGAGGTCTTTCTTCCTAGTCTGTCTTAGTCTAGAAGTTCTGCTGAAACCTGTTCAGCTTCATAGCCACACACCCATCCCCTGACAGATGGGTGGTGCTTACGCACGAGGTGCACTGGCTGGGAATCAAACCCAGGTCTTCAGCACCGAAGATGAGAATTCTACCACTGATCCACGACTGCCCCCAGAGCCACAGAAATGGGGACGTGATGATTAAGGAGAAGTCCGAATCCCAGGTACACTAACCTCACTGCACAGGTTAGATACTGATTTCCCAGCACTAGAGGGAAAGGACAGCGGGGATGGAGAGCAAACTTTTTCTCACTTCGCTGCACTGCTCTTCAGGAATACAACATGGCTCTGCAACAACAGGTACTGGAGGCCATATTTAAACATGCTCATTGATTGACAGATTCCTGACCCTGCTCCATTTGAGCCCTTTGGGGGAAATAAGCATAGAAGAAACGGGAACAGAGTAAGCTAAGGCATGCACTACACCGTGTGCCGGACAGACCAGGGATACCAGGCAGGGAGTGCTCTGAAACCCTCCATTCATGGGTGCACTTCCTGCTACCATTTTTGATAGGCCAGTTCCATTTCTTGGGTCCCAACAGGGGAAAAAAAAAAAATCTCATTTGATGATGGGAAGAAGAGAGCTACTGGAGGGCAAAAGTCTTTAACATTACCTGCTCGAAACAGGCTTGGACAAGGTTCTCAGGGAACATATTCCTGGGGGAGACATGAAAGGCAGTATTATGTTAGGGCAAAAAAGTGTTCGCTGTCAGACCCAATACATTGATGGAAAGGTATGTAATACAGAACTAGAATCCTGGATTTTCTTCCAGCTTCACCATTGCACAATACTTCCTTGTGTTAAGATGATGCTGAGCTTCAAGCAAGTATAGGAAGCGCTCCTACCTAGACCTCACTTAACTGATTCACTGATAACTCACTTGCTTTCCTCGGTGAAACATCTCATTGGTGGGTGAATACTCACAGTCAAGAGACAATTCTTTAATATCCTGCACATTTCTGTTTTCATCATTGAGGATGTATATTGACCAAGAGTCCATTGTACATCTCCAAATTCTTTATGCCAAATATAAATATTATGTAAAGTTATGAAAATACAAGCATGAAAAAGAAGCTGTGGTTTCTATAAACCCTAAGCTGAATGCCCATATTAAATAAAGACAAGTGACTAATATTTTGGCGGTTGAATTAAGCGTGGGAAGACAGTTGAAATTAAAAACAAAAACAAAAACAAAAAAAACTGGAAGGATCTGGCACTCAGATTTTTTTTTGCAATTTCTAGTTTTCCTCGATCCACTTTATGGAAACAGAATCTGAACATTGTAGAGGATGGATTTATAAGGGCTGTCTATGCAATAAAAATGATACGGAATTCCAATTAATTGACATACTACATAAAAATTGGCAAATAAATGCATTCAAGTTTTAAGTGAAAATAAAATATGTAACGTACATCTATACTGTTTTTTTAATGATTCTCTGTTATTTTTTGTTAACTGACCAACTTCTGGCCCCAACTGCTTCAGAATCTACATTTTAACAAGATCCCCAGGTGATTCTTAGGTATACATCCTTATGTATCCTTATGTATACCTAAGAATCACCTGGGGAGCTTGTAAAATACATAAGAAGCACTGGGGATCTTGTTAAAATGTAGATTCTGATTCAGTAAATCTGGGGTGGAAATGCAAATTCTCAGCAGGGGTTGAACCGAAAATAACCGGTTGGAAGCCCTGGGGCAAATCTGAATAACATTAAACGGCAAGTATGAGTTGTCCATAAGCCTGACGTTCTCAACCCAGGGTCTGCGTTAATTAAAAATTTTTGAGAAATTTCAAGGTGGCAGCAGAGCATTAAACCACATGCAGGGCCCGGCATGACTGCCCGGGTCGACGCCATGGAGCCACCCTCCTGGAGGACACTCACCTGATCAGGTCCAGCAAGGCGTCTACCGTGCTGACTTCAGGGGTACTGCCCACCCTGCCCATGGCATCCATTTTCTGGCTGACACCAGGCTTGATGCTCATCACCAGCACGATTCCTGCAATCAAAGACAGCCCCACAGAGCATTAAGAACCTTCCAGAACACCTGGCATCCCTGGTGCATCCCTCTCAGAACCAGCAGGCATGGTGGTGCTAGGCAATACCCCATGAGCCTGCTGAGCCTCAGCTGGGACCTCAGTAGCAGCCTTAATTTCCCATTACATGAAAAAGCAGAACTCTTTCCCTCAAAAAAGTTAAAAAAAAAAAAATGCATATTGCTGTTCTGTTTTGTTTTTTTTTAAATGCGGGGACTGAATCCCAGGATTGCTTCTGGAAACACTTGCTGACCAGAATATTGTCTTCTTTAGCTTATGAGACTAGCCTAGGCAGCTCTGGGGTGAGTGTGATTCATTTTCCAACCCAGAGGACTTGTATACTATCTTTCTTTAACTTTTACCCACAGATCCTGGTTATCCTCCTGGCATTACACACAACAAGCCTTACCTTCCTTCCATGTGGCAGGGCTTCAAATATCTGGAAAGTTGTCGTGAGGGGGGAAAGTATTGTTCTATGTGACTCTAAGTGGGTGGAATGAGGACAAGTAAACAGGAGCTACAGGGAGAGACAGTTCACTGGCTGTGAGGAAGAACTGTCTACAGGGTGGAGTGTCTTTCAGAGCTAAGTGATAGGGCGCCATCTTGGCCTTTGGAAGCATGGGTTCCTATCATGTGAGGTGGGATGCTGTAGAAGACACCAAAGCATCGGAGGCTGTTTGACTAGAGGAGAGTGATGGAGAAAAACATCCCTCTGCCCCAGGAAGAGAGGAGGAAATGCTAATCCGGGGGCGGGGTAGGATTTCAGGGTGCTGAATGGGTCAGTTGTGCTACTGGGAAGGGGCAACAGGAAGGCCATGAGTGGGTATGATCCACTCTGCCCTTTCGGGGGTGCAGAAGGGATACACGTCCAGCTAGTAATAAAGTGGAGTCCCTGCGTGGTGCAAATGGTTCTTAACTGAAAGGCTGGAGGTTTGAGTCCAGTAGACCTGGAGATCTACTTCTGAAAAATCAGCCACTGAAATCCCCATGAAGCACAGTTTTACTCTGACACACACGGGGTCACCCTGAGTCAGAGTCAACTTGACAGCAACTGGACTGGTCATAAATAAAGCAGTATCTTGCTTTCTCCCTGCGCCTTTTTTTTTTGTGTCTGTCTTCCTCAGGAACCTCATGAGGAGACGTGCTCTTCCCTTGAGGCAGAGTTCAGGTCCTTCTAGGTCCCCTGGCCTAATACCACTAAAACCTCACCCTAAGTTCATCTCCAAAACTTATTAATTTATTCGAGCAGGGCTGCCAGGGTCAAGCTGACTGTGGCACCTGAGTCACGTTCCCTGCCTCCTTTCCCATTCTAGGCATCCTTCTTCAAATGTCACGCTAGGTCACAAAGGGCGGGATGAGCTTTCTTCACAAGAGAACGCCACAGGTTCAAGAGCAGCTATCCTCCCTTACTAGAACCTTCTCCCTTCTTCAAGTGGGACTTACCCTTGGCAAGACTCTGTTAACTCTTGGTAATATATGAAATGTGAAATACTGAAATGTTATCTTTCTGGAAATATTTTATAATTATACTCCATCTACTATTATCGACTCACTAGTTTAAGGATTATATAAGCTCTTGGCTTGGCTTCCTTCTACCCAACGACCTTGACAAGGCACAGACATGTTACCCTCTTTCTGTTTCTTACTAGAGACATTAATAACTTCAGTCAGTATTATATCTTCTTCACGCAGAAGGAACTATGTAGACATCAAGCCAAAAAGCTTCATGGTAGTGTGACAATACTATTTTCTGATTAAAGAAAAAAGGGGGGCATTTAAAAAGCTCCACTAGTTTTTGAATGAAAAGTCACGATCACATACAGGAATAAGGATTCAGAAATAAACTTTACCTAGAATAACAGCGCTGATAGTTGTGCAGAAATAATACATGACAGCACGCAGACCAATTTTTCCGGATATGTTGGAATCCAGTGCAGCAACACCTGAGAGGGGGCAGGGAGTCAAATGGTAGTAATGTTTAGAAGATCAACTTCCAGGATTGGTGCTTCAGTCTTCAAGGTATGAAAGGAAAAGCTGAGAGCTGTTCTCTGCATCTATTAGGCCTGTCTCCCACATTTTTAAAGGATAAGAGGCAACGGGAGGAAGATGCGCTTCAAAATCCCAAACACAGAATTCAGAGAGGGAAGCCAAGTGGGGTCCTCAGGGCCTTAGTCTACCGTGCCAGGCCTTTGGCTTTTCTTGGGCGTGGTGATGAGACACATCCAGAAGGAGTCTCCCTTCTGCAGTTGCTCTTAGAACATTATCAAGATTTTGCACATCACATCACTCAACACCTCTTAGGATAAACCCCTTTTGGAACTCAGTATCAGGAAAAGTGTATCTTGAAGAATGAACATAGTCCTTTTATCACATAATGAGAATCGTGTAACTCAAGACTGTTTCCCTTTTTGCCTTTTCTGCCAGGAAGCTCAGAGTCAATTAAAAAACTAACTTTTACGTTTGATTATAAAAGCAATATATGTTCATCACAAATATCTGAAAAAAAGAGGGAAATATAAAGATGAAAACAAAGATCACTTCATCTCATCAGCCACAGTTAACACGCTGGTGAATTTTTTTTCCAACATTTTCTCTCTTTTTGTCGACATAGCTAAGATAATTTTATAGTTTTTAATTCTCTCTCTTCTTAATACTGTCTTATAAGCAGTTTCTCATCATTAAAAATTCACCCTGGGGATAAATTTAATGGTGACATGATCTTCTGTCCTGTGGGTGTACTATAACATACTTAATTATTCACTTATTGCTGGATCTTTAGATAGTCTCAGGGACAAATTCAATAATAAATCACAGTAATTTCATTATCCATCCTGGCTAGCATATTTCCTTTCTCTTTTCATGATTTTCAAATTGCTTCTACATTAACAACATTATTGTGTACGGCTTCCATTGTAAGACACTTTAAAATTTCTGATCAAAAGAGGTAGGATATAAATAAATTCCGAGGGCCCAGGTAACTTAAGAGACTTATGAGGTGCATTATGGGGTTGGCAAAGAATATCAAATATACCATGGACTGCCAGGAGAACTAAGACATCTGTCTTGGAAGAAGTACAGCCAGAGTGCTCCTTGGAAGTGAGGATGGCAAGACTTCGTCTCACATACTTTGGACATTGTATCAGGAGGGACCAGTCCCTGGGAAGGACATCATGCTTGCTAAAGTGGAGGGTTAGTGAAAAAGAGTAAGGACCCTCGACGAGATGGATTGACACAGGGGCTTCAACAGTGTGCAGTGATTGTGGGGATGGCACAGGACTGGGCAGTGTCTCGTTCCGTAGTACACAGGGTTGCTATGAGTCGGAACTGATTCCATGGCACCTAACAATAACGTGAGGCCAGTGATGGTTCAGTGATAAAATTCCCGCCTTCCACGAGGGAGATCTAGGTTTGCTTCCTGGCCAAAGGACCTCAAGCACAGCCACCACCTGTCAGTCAGTGGAGGCTTCTGTGTTGCTATGATGCTGAACAGGTTTCAGCGGAGCTTCCAGATGGAATAGGAAGAAAGGCCTGGTGATCTATTTCTGAAAATGAGCCAATGAAAACTCCATGGATGACAAGGGTCTGATTCCGTTGTGCATGGGGTTGTCATGAGTCGAGGTCTAGGGGATGACTCAGCAGCAGCTAATCTAACACATCTTTAGATCTAGTTTCAAATGGTCTTTGGCTGCCAGTAAAATGACTGAGTATTGTCTGGACTTGACAGGGTTTTCTGGAAAGCCATGGAGAGCTGTACTGCAGGTGGAAGGCATAGATTCCTCCTGGGTAGAAACCCTTGCCCTCTGTCATAGGTGCTCCCATAAGTGGGAAGCAGCTCTACTTCTACGTGGGCCATGGGGCAAACTGAGAAAGAATCATGTCATTTTTCAGCAAGTATTTGAGGTTTCAGACCTTACCCTGTCTGATTTCCAAAATGAGAATCTCATTTTGAGTCAAATGACAGTCACATTTCAATTTTAGAGTGCAGAGCATTGTTTTGGTAAACAAATATAATAATAATGGTCGTCGTTGTTGTTTTCCCATAACTGTTTGCAAAGTCTGCGGTACAGGGCAGCAGGAAAGATGAAGAGGCTGTCGCAAGGCAACCCCAAGGCCAAGGCAGCAAACCTCTGCATACACAAAGGTCTACCACGAACAGGCACAGGTAGCTTTACGTCCACTCCTCACGCTATAAAAGGCCCATCCATTTTCTTTAGTGACGGGGGGATTATGCTCCTTCTGTATGATTGTACCTATATGGTGCACAGGAAAAGTCCCAAAGGAAGCTATAATCGTCACGATGGCAGAACAAGTCATTCCTCACTCTAAACACACCGGTCCTCTGGCTGCTCATTGCTCCTTTGGCAGTTAGTGTTTCCAGAGAAGGAGCTCTGGCCTCTTCAGCAGTCACCCCAGAATGTCATGAAGGCCGTTCACCAGCCTCCGGACAAGACCGAACAATTACCACCTGATGGGCATATTGCAACAGTGGCACCCTAGGATAACCTTAACGATAGATTCTAGTCTCTTTCTTTGGAAAAAATGAAGTTGGGTGTGCTGAGGACACTGCCTTTTCCTGATGGTAAGACAATTTAAAGTAAGAATTATGCAAAGAACAAGATAAAAAAAAAAAAAATCAAGACAGACTGAAGGTCACAATTCAGAAACAAATGACCTTTCATATTTAGTTTAAGACTCTAAAAGAAAGAGCAAGCAATAATGTAAATATACAAAACTGCTAAGTATGCTATGTGGTTATAAATGTGCCTGTTCAACTTTCGAGTTCAGAACACTGGGTAAACAATTATGTATTTATAATAACAATGGCTGCTGTCATTAGCTGCCATGGAGTCGATTCCGACTCAGGGCGACCTTATGTACAACAGAATGAAATACTGCGCGGTCCTGTGCCATCTTCAGAATCACTGGCATGTTTGAGACCATCCTTGTGGCCACTGTGTCAATCCATCTCACCAAGGGTCTCCCTCACCCTCACTGGCCCTCTACTTCACCAAACATGATGTCTTCCTCTAGCAACTGATTCCTCCTGATGACGCGTCCAAAGCAAATGAGTCAGACAACGTTCTGTTGTGACACACAAGGTTTTCACTGGCTAATTTTCAGAAGTAGATCACCAGGCCTTTCTTCCTAGTCTGTCTTAGTCTGGAAGCTCCGATGAAATCTGTCCACCACAGGTGACCCTGCTGGTATGTGAGATACCAGTGGCATATACACCTGGACCACAGCAACACGCAAGCCACCACAGTATGACACACTGACATACGGGTGGTGGATAACAATGGTAGGCTAAAAACAAAAAACCCACCAGAAAATCGCCAATTTAAGAGAATTCCAAGTTAACAGGTAGAGCACCTGCAACCCTGACCTACTAGCTGATGTTTGTCCAGACACCTTGTCCTTCCTCAGTAGATGACCAATGTAAGCAGGTCCCAGCCCCTGGGTGCTGCCAATGTCAGGTCCGGGGGCAGCTGCAGAACCGCCCTCAGGTATGTGGTTCAACATCCTCTCAGGATTTCCTTCCAGCAGCGAAGCAAATTAAATCTATGCGGGTAAACTGTTGCCAGCATATGCTGATATGTCTTCATCTGTTTTAACAATTTGGCCAGGGGCTGGTATCTCTGCTTCTACTCCAGGACCCAGCTGGCAACAAAATGCTTCATGATAATGAGATTCTTGGTGGAAAGATGTTAAACTAATACAGTCTAGAAGGAGGCAGCCAGTTCCTCTCTGCTGGAGTGCAGCACCTCTCCCGTAGTGATTTCTTTGCCAGCCCTCCACCTCAGTCTGACAATGTCCCTGGAGAGACCACAAGCTTATTCAAATCAACAATTGGACTTCTTTACATCTCTAGAGCTACTCCTCTACCTTTCTGGTCCTCAGTGATCAGGCGGTAAAGTGGCCCCCAAATCTAGGCTCTTGGACGCTTTATAATGCTTTGCTGGGGGCAGGGGTGGTGGCCACCTTAGAGGGAGGGAACATATGGTTGAACACAGCCCTATCTCTGCAAACCTCTATAATAGGTACAGGGTTCCCGGGTGACACAAATGGTTTGTGTTCCACCACTAAGCTAAAGTTGGCAGTTCAAACCCACCCAGCAGCACCATGGAAGAAAGGCCTGGCAATCTGCTTCCATAAAAGATTAAAACCAAACCCACTGCCATCAAGTCAATTCCAACTTATAGCGACCCTATAGGACAGAGTAGAACTGCCCCATAGGGTTTCAATCTTTACAGAAGCAGACCGCCACATCTTTCTCCCGAAGAGCAGCTGGTGAGTTCGAACCACCAACATTTTGGTTGTCAGCCAAATGCTTAACCACTGCACCGCCAAAACCAAACAAACCAAACCCGTTGCCGTCGAGTTGATTCCAACTCACAGCAACTCTATAGGGCAGAGTAGAACTGCCCCATAGGGATTCCAAGGCTGTAATCTTTATAGAAGCAGGCTGCCCCATTTTTCTCCCTTGAAGTGGGCTGGTGGGTTTGAACTGCTGACCTTTCAGTTAGCAGTCGAGTGCATAACCGCTGCGCCACCAGGGCTCCTTTAGTAAAAGCTTACAGCCAAGAAAACCCTACGGAGCAGTTTTACTCTGTAACACGTGGGGTCACCATGAGTCAGACGAGACTTGACAGCAATGGGTTCGGTTTTGGTTTATAATAGGAACGTCACAGAACTCAACATAACTATAAAATACCCGTCTGGATGGTCTGAACACTCTACTTTCCAACAGCAACAACAACTACTATTATTATTACTGTAACAGTGATGATGACAATGATGGCAACGGGCACTGCGCATTGAGCAATGACTATGTTCAGTGCGCCGAAAACCCAAACCAAACCCATTGCTGTCAAGTCGATTCTGACTTATCACGACCCTATAGGACAGAACAGAACTGCCCTGTAGGGTTCGCAAGGTTGTAATC